GCCACTGGCGGGGGGAGGGGGATGAGGGGGATTAAAAAATGAAGATTCTATTATTCTGCAACAAAAAGAAACAAAGTCCTGATGCATGCTACAACATGGATGAACCTTGAAAACATTATGCTAAGTGAAAGAACGAAGTCACAAAGGACTGCATGTTGTGTGATTCCATTTATATGAAATATCCAGAAAAGACAAAACAATCAAGACAAAAAGTAGATTAGTGGTTGTCAGAGGCCGAGAGGGGATGAGGGTATGGGAGATGATGATGATGCAGGGTTTCCTTCTGAGGTGAAAAAAATGTTCTAAAATTGATTGACTGTGGTGATGGATGTACAACTCTGTGAATACACTAAAAGTCACTGAATTATACACTTTGAACTGGTGAAATGCATGATGTGTGAATTATATCTCAAGAAAGCTGTTAAAAACACACACACAGCGGGCTTCCCTGGTGGTGCAGTGGTTAAGAATCCGCCTGCCAATGCAGGGATAACGGGTTCAAGCCCTGGTCTGGGAAGATCCCACATGCCGCGGAGCAACTAAGCCCGTGCGCCACAACTACCGAGCCCGTGTGCCACAACTACTGAAGCCCGTGTGCCTAGAGCCCGTGCTCCACAACAAGAGAAGCCACTGCAATGAGAAGCCCGTGCACCGCAACGAAGAGTAGCCCCACTCACTGCAACTAGAGAAAGCCCGCACGCAGCAACAAAGACCCAACACAGCCAAAAATAAATTAAAAAAACAAACAAACAAAAAAAACACAAACACACACACAGGGACTTCCCTGGCGGTCCAGCGGTTAAGACTCCATGCTTACACTGCAAGGGGTGCAGGTTCAATCCCTGGTCAGGGAACTAAGATCCCATATCCTGAGTGGTGAAGCCAAAAAGTAAAAACAACAACAACAAGAGAAAACAAAAAACACACACACAAAGGCCTACAGCACTGGCTGGGGAGAGGGAAGCTGGTAACTGCTTGAAACTTCATCGCATACTCCCAAAAGCCAAGGGGCCCCACTCAAAACTTTCACAATGGATGGGGGGAGTAGGGAGCAGAGAATTAAAAAGATTACAACTAGCTTCAGAGCAATGAGTACAACCTCCCTCCCCACCACTACCCATTTTATGGATGGAGAAACTGAGGCCCAGAAAAAGGAACTGCCAAAAGATACAGGACTCAAACCCAGACCACCCAGGCAGAGAACACTTCCTGCTATACCACTCTGCCTCCTCACCAGAGGAATCAGCAGGTTCCTAGAAGCCAAATGAAGGGTCTTTGCCAACAAAGATCAGGTGTTGCAAAGGCTCCTAGGAAGAACCCAGATGATCCTGGGGAAACTTCAAGAGAAGAATCAGCCAAGGTCCAAGGTGGGCCAGGTCAGGTATTCAGACACTCAATAACCTTGGGCATGGGTGGACTTTTGGCAGCTAAGCAGGAGATCCTGGGATTTGAACTCAGGCCTGCCAGCTCCAAAGCCTAAACTTTTTCTACACATAACCCTACCTCCAAACCATCCAAGAGGTCTCCCAACAGGCAACCCCCGAGCTTATTCACCACAGCAGAGCTGGCCACAAAAATCACTGTCTGCCAACCCTGAGCCTCAAACTGACCAGGCCACTTGTCCTGACCACCAAGCTTGGATGGTTGAGAGGGAACACAGAGGCAGGGGAGAGAGGAGAGAAACCCAGTTCTGCCTCGAAAGACACCTACTGTTCCCTGTCACCTCCAGGCCCAAAGGGCTTTGGTGTGAGCTCCCTAAAATCCCAAAGCTAAACAATACCTCACCAGCTCCTTACCTGACCAAAGAGAAAACTGTGGCCCAGAGAGCACAGGCAGAACTATTCTGGTTCATCCAGAAAAGCCCCATCAGAGCCAGGGTGGGAACCCAGGCACCCTGGCTTCAGTGTCAGGTCCACCCTCTCCCACCACTTCAGCACATGGGCCCCCTTCATAAAATGCTCTGTGGCGTCCTCAAGCTCAGGGCGCTCTCAAGCCATCCTTTTCATAGGGGAGACTCTTGGCAAGGCAGCCATACCTGGGAAAGGAAACCCCTGACAACACCACCTTCCTAGCACTGGGACCCCCAGGGTGTCAAAAGGGCTCCTAAAGGCAGTAGATACAGTAACAGCACCAGGACAGACAAGAAGTCTGAGTAGTCACAAGGACCAGATTCACCATCTGGGCTCCCTCTCAACAACTCCCCTCTTTCCCAAGGATCTAATTGGCCTCTGGGTTACAAATGCCCCCAGTGACGGTTCAGGACTAAGCCTAGGGCTGCAGGAAGAATCTCTCCTCTTTTCATCCCCAAGTTCAACCAGGTGAAGCAAAAAGAAGCATCTTCTTCCTCCCTTTGTCCCAAGAAGTGGGAAGACATGAAGCCTCTCCTCCGTCATTGGGAAGGGAAGGTATCATGCAACCACAGAGCTTTACTTCCATGTTCTTATGGGAACAATTACAAGGGAGGGACTCCTAGCCCAGGAGATGCAAAGGGGATGTAAGGAGGTGTCTTTCTAGTCACCATGGCAGCACATGACTTTCTCTCTGTTCCTGGGACTCCTCGTTTCTGTGGAGAAGGAAAGGCACACTTTACTGCAACCAGGGAGAAGAAATAACTCCTGGTCCTCACCCTGGCAGATGATTTATCCTGCCTGGAGAAGTAGTAATACATGGAAAGGGAACAAGAACGGGGGCTCAAAACCAGGCCCTGGCCCTGGCCCCCGTGAAGTACACAAAGATTTGCCTGAACCAAGAGGGAAAGCAATGTGGGTGGAGAATTTCCTGCAGTGGGGATGTCCCAAACCCCTTCCCTGTCTCTGGGAAGAAAAAAGCTTATTGAAAGCAATTCAGGAAGCTCAGAATATTTCCCTGATCCAGGAAATTAGAAGCATAGCTGGGTCAGGGAGAGACTCAACACATCTCCTAGGTCTTGAGGGTAGGCCTCAGTCCTCATGTCCCCAGTACCTGACACCTTTCTCACAGAAAGTAAGGAGAACTTCCTAGCCTGAGCAGGCTCAGGTAGGGAGTTCTTAAGACTGTGAAAAGCATCCAGGTCCTTCTGTTCAATGGGGGAGGCCTCAGGCCACAATGGGGAGGACTTCCCATCCCTCTCCCTGGTGAGAAAGGATTGCCTGGTTGGGGGAGAAGGGAGGGGAGGAGGAGCCTCATACCCAAGGGGGGAGCTCAAGCCCCTCCCTAAGGTGAAGGATCTCTTGTCCCAGAGGGGAAGCTCAGGTCCCTGCGAGAAGGCTCAGACTCCTTCCCCCAGAATCCCACCTTACCCATGTCCCCAAGAGTAATGAGCAGCCCGCAGGACTTAGTTCAAAGTGGAAGGGGGGCTTAGGCTCAAGTCCCCAAGGCATGAAATCTTATGCCCCCAAAAGGCCTCTAAAACTGAGGTACACGTATGCTGAGAGAAAGTTCAAACTCATGACGGGAGATGCGGAACCCTATTCCCCAGGGACTCTACCCATGCCCCAAGGGAAGGGCCTCAGGGCTCAAATCTGGTCAGGGGAGACCTCCTGCTCCTGAGGAGTACCTTAAGTTCCTTGAGGGGGAAGCTTGGACCTCACCTCTAGAGACACACTGGTCACTGGGGTATGTATGCATCTCTTGTCCTTGAGGGAAAGCTCAAGAGTCCTTGGCACAGTGTGTCTCAGATGCCCAAAGAGAATACTCAGACCACTCCCTGAGAAGAAAAGTCCCCTAAAGACCTCTGTGGAGGGGCATCAGTCTCCTGAAGAGGCTTCAGACCCAGTCTCTGAAAGCCCCAGTCCATAAGCAGGGGCAATCCTAGGTTCCAGTATCCGAAACAGTGAGTCCTATTTTCTTGAAGAAAGGTTCAGTTCTGGTGCTGGGGGGGCGGGTGTCTAGACCTTAAAAATAGCTTAAGCTCATAGAAAGAAATTAGACTCTTGTCTCCAAAGAGGTCTCAGGCCTCTTAGAGAAAGCACAGACCCTTGTCACTTAGAAGGGGATGAATCTCATGTACCCTAGTAGACTTTCTGGTCCCAGGGTGTTGGTTTTGACCCTTGTTCCCATAGGGAAGGGGATCTTAGGGGGGTATGTATGTGTGTGTGTCAGGCCCTTGACTTCTAGAAGAGGGAGTCTCAGACCCCACTGCTGCATGGTCCTGTGCTGTATCCCCCTGAGAAAGAGAAGGGGATTGTCCTATATAGAGTGTCTCAGACCCCTGAAACGGTTTTGGTATCTTGGGGACACTCATATCTCTGAGATCTCCACCTTACTTGTATTCCCTGGAGAAGAAACCTTAGACTCTTATCCCAGAGGAAAAGAAATCTCAAGTCACTGAACACAGACCAAGGTCCTCTGGAGAGTCATGAGACTCCCCTCTCAGGAGGCACTCCATCTTGCCTGTCTCTCCTGGGGAGTTCCTACCTATTGGCCCTAC